GGACTGTAAATTTGCTTTGAACCGTAAGGTTGGTGGTTCAAGCTTACCAGCTGCTCCTTGGAAACACTGTACATTGCCACTATGGGTCAGAACTGACTCGACAGCACTTAACAACAACAACAAGGATTCGAGTAACCCAGGCTTGCTTGATTAAGCCTTTTCTGTACCATGAGCAATTAGGTCACCTTGGTGGCTCTGTGGGTTACATGCTGGCTGGGCTTTTAATCACAAGGTCACCTGTTCAAATCTCGCAGCTGCTCCATGGGCAAAAGATGAGACTGTTAGCTCCTACAAAGATTCATGGTCTTAGAAACCTATGCAGGGGTCACTATGGGCCAGAACTGACTTGAGTGCATTGAGGTGTTTTTGTGTGTGTGAGGGGGTAAAGTTTGAGAACATAGTGCCAGAGAAGTGAAAGTGGAAGCTGCAGGGTAAGTTCTTCATGGGAAGACTGGCTTCCAGGTAAATGGATGCAGAGGGTAAGGATTCTATTTCAAGAAGACTGAGAATGGAAGGACATTAGTACAATGGATTTTACTTTTTGGAACAAGGAGGTGAGCAATATTTTTGTGAGCAGAAGAGAAGGAAACAGCGACGGAGGGATAGAAAGTATAAGGCCAACAGAAGTGATTATGGCAGAAGCAGTGTCTTAGAGATGATGGAGTTCACTGTGGAAGGATGGAAGGCACTCTTAAAGAGGCGGATGAAAGGAGAGACTGAGAGAGCGGAAAAAGAATGTATATTATCATCTAGTACTTCTTTAGCAGCACTTAGCTGCTAGGTTGGCTAATATACCTAAGCTAAAGAGACTGAGCTGAAATCGATTTAGACAGTTTACTACTCACAACACAACAGGACCTGTGAGCTTCACATTCTCATCAGTTTCTCTTGTCTACCAGGTACATGGGGTGATGTGGAGGTGACCCAAGTGGATACTGCTTACTCAGCTGGGGAGTTCTGAACTAAGATCCCGCCAGCCTTATAAGGGATGGCTAGCAGTGCTGTTGAACCTTTGTTCTGGAGGAACATGTTTTCTTTATTTAGCATGCTGATCAGGAATCAAACCTGCCCTCTCATTCTCAGAGACAGCTTCCAAGGCTACATGGTTGTTTTTTAAAGTTTTTATTGTGAATTATGTGCGTTTACATGGGAGAACACCAGCTTTACATTCATCCT